AAATGGAGGAAAAAAAAAAAAGTTCGGTAAAGGGTGGAATTGAACCCGGGTCGATCGCATCAAAAATGACTCCAACGCTCGCTTTACTATCTACGCCACTGAACTCTCGTCTTTTGTCGTAACCTTACATTGATTGGCGGAGGTAGTGTAAATAGCTTCTGCCAACTATTTGCACGTAGTGTAAAAGACACTCCGTTTTTTAATAGTGAACTGATGTTCAGCTGTTCTTTTTAATAGTCAACTTATTTTCGGGTCATCGTCATAAAAGCCCTGTAAACACTGTCACAGACACGAAGATACATCTTTCATTTCATCAAGCTGAATGCTCACTAACGTTAACTGACACGGTCATCACTTTTTCAGGGCATTTCAAGTTTTATTTTGACGTGACACATAGCAGTGATAACTAAGCGGGTGAGTTGTTTACTTGCTTAATATATAGTCAAGAACGCCATCATTTCTTCATTCCGGCCAAGAGCTCGCACAAAAATAAGAGGCGGGATTTATCGCATGAACCAATCACATCCAATCGTAACCGATCATATCCAATTATAGCGCGATGGAGGCGTTGCCTCCTCTCACGTGACTGTCCCCCATTCATTTTCTATTACCCCCCACTAAACCCACGGCACTCTGTTGTAAGTCTATGGGCCGAAGGGAGGCAAGCCTCCGCAAGTATTCTACCTGTGGGTGTCGCTGTTGGACAGTGTTACTTTATAAAAACGAGTGACTTTTATACTTTAATGTCATATTTATTAGTAATATTTGCGTTAAATACTATAAAAGTATACAAATAATACTAAAATAGCACTGGATCAGCAACAGCCAATTAGCTTTCTATGCGAACATTTTCAAATGTTTTTATGAATTTTAACCAGCTTTATTTTAGTATTATTTATAGCTTTTATTTTTCTATTTTTATTTTCATTTAAGTTTTAGTAATTTTGTTGTGCTTTTGTAATTTTTTTATATTTCCATTTAGTTTTTCTTGATATTTGTTTTTACTCATTTTAGTATTTTACCTTCAAAATATTTTATTTCAGTTAGCGGCCAAGGCTGAATTTCTCATTTCTCTATATTTTATTTCAACTTAATTTCAACTACTGAAAACTATTTTTAGTAGCTAGTTTTAACTAGCAATAACAGCACTGATGTTAAAATCAGCAAATCTGCAAAGGAGTTAAAATCCTCAGGTGCATCCTGTGACCTCTGGAGATGCTGGAAAGGCAGGTGGCAGATGTGTATAGAGCACATTGGCTTTGTGACTTCTGTGTTTGGGGAGCTGCCAAATGATTCTAGAGACACATGTTTATCCCAAGAGGAGCTCATTGTAGATGTTAATTTTCTGCTCCAGGGATAATGGCTCTCTCTGATCAGGTTATTATCAACCACTCAGTCTCATAGGATGAGATGCTGAACCAGTAACTTGATGTTCTTAATACAAATGTTTAATTCTGGACTGTGAAATTCAGAAAACTGAACTACATCTGACTTAAAGTCACAGCCTCACAAACATGTTTATTTTTTAAATATAACAATAAAATATGTAAAATATAACTATAAAGCATATTCAAAACATAAAAAAAACTATAATAGTATATAAATAATCTCAAGATGGCAGCCTTGTTATTGTACTTATTCTCAGACCTTAAGGCATGAACACATCTCACCTAGTGGATGCATTATAGTTTTTCTTCTATTTATGTTAAAGTCAGTGAAGCACATAGCAGTGTGTTACATAGAATGCACAGAGCACATAGAATGATGTGTCTACTCCCACACTGTTATTCAAGGACATTTACAGCAGCCTTCAGTTCAACAGCTCACAGAGAAACAGTGAGCTGAGATGCTGGACAAGCAGTCCACTTCATTTTATATATAACCTGTAGTGGTGGGCGTTCAGTCCCTGCTGGACTGCAGAACTGCTGCTGGAGGGCCAATCCATTTTCAAAAGAGACTGTCACTGGGCCATGACACAATGACAGCAATTTCAAAAACACCTGCAAATTATTATTATAAAAAAAAAAATAAATAAATAAATAAAAAATATATATATTTTATTAATCGGGATGTATGTCGGCGCTGAGAGCTGGGTGCGTTCCGAGTTCGAATCCTGACTCGAGGACCTTTCCCGATCTCTCTCTCTCCCACTTCGCTTCCTGTCAGTTCTGATCTGTCCTATCATAATAAAAGGCGGAAATGCAAAAAAAAAAAATAAATCGATAAAAAAAGGAATATATAGAATATTTGTAACAACAACAACATTTACATTTAGTCATTTTGCAGACACTTTTATCCAAAGCAGCTTACAATTGGGGGATACATAGCGATTCTTCTTAAAGAGGCAAACAGATACAGGAAGTGCTTGTAATACCAAGTTTTAGGTATTGTTCAAATAAGTAAAAGCTAGAATGGGAAGGAATAAATAAAGAGAAAGACAAAGTTTAATTTAGTTTAATTTAGGATGAAGTAAAGTAGAGTCGAAGAGATGAGTTTTCAGCTGTCGCTTGAAAATTGTCAGAGAATCAGCATTCCGGATAGGGGTGGGAAGATCGTTCCACCAGCCAGGAATGGTGAACGAGAATGTTCTGGAAAGTGATTTTGAGCCTCTCTGTGATGGTACCACGAGGCATCGCTCACTAGCGGATCTCAGACTTCTGGAGGGGATGTAGATTCGTAGTAGTGAGTGGAAGTAGGCGGGTGCTGAGCCTGTGGCTGTTCTATATGCAAGCATCAATGTCTTGAACTTGATTCGAGCCGCAACCGGTAGCCAGTGCAAGGAGATAAAGAGAGGTGTAACATGGGCTCTTTTGGGCTCGTTGAAGACCAGTCGTGCCGCTGCATTCTGAATCATTTGTAGAGGTTTGATTGTGCTTGATGGAAGTCCAGCCAGAAGAGCATTGCAGTAGTCCAGCCTAGAAATGACAAGGGCCTGGACAAGAAGTTGTGCAGCATGCTCCGTTAGAAAGGGACTGATCAACAACAACAACAACAACAATAATAATAATAATAATAATGTGACCCTAGACCACAAAACTAGTCATAAGCAGCACAGGTATATTTGTAGCAATAGCCAACAGTAGGCTACATTGTATGGGTCAAAATTATCGATTTTTCTTTTATGCCAAAAATCATTAGGATATTAAGTAAAGATCATGTTCCATGAAGATATTTTGTAAATTTCCTACCGTAATGTAATGTACCGTAACGTAATTTTTGATTAGTAATATGCATTGCTAAGAACTTCATGTGGACAACTTTAAAGGTGATTTTCTCAATATTTAGATTTTTTTGCACCTTCAGATTCCAGATTTTCAAATAGTTGCATCTCAGCCAAATATTGTCCTATCCTTACATACCGATACATGGAAAGCTTATTTATTAAAAAATGGACCCTTATGACTGGTTTTGTGGTCCAGGGTCACATATGGCATTTGAATAGCTGGAGGACACATACACTACTATTTAAAAGTTTGGGTTCGGTAATATTTTATAAAGTTTGTGAAATCTCTTATCAGATCAATTAATCTTTTCTAAATAGAAGTATGAATTTATTGCCATTAGTCATTAATTTATTAAATTAGCAATTATTAATAATCAATTTACTGAATAATAGTATTAAAAATAATGTTACTAGGCTCAAACATTTTAAATTTAGGGGAATAGGGAAAATCTTAGTCAAAATGGGTGTAAACCGAATTAGGCCAATTGCTGACATCTAGTGGTGTGTTCACACATAACAGCTATTCATCAAATACCTGTCAGGCTGGACAGTACTCATCCCAGCATCGAGAAAATATGCATGCAAGTATTTTTAGGTAAGTTCAGTGAGACTCAGTACACATTTGAGAGCAGTCACTATACTTTATTTGAGGGGAATAGTAGCATAAAATTTCATCTGTACATTATGTAACAATTACGTCTGATCAGGCCCTGAATGCGTTAAATACTCAAGAGAAAGGTGGACAAAAATGGCATGTCCAGCACAACAGTAATGCAGCTGCTCGCACCTAAAATGGAGAGTTTTGGTAAAGTGGAGACATTCACTTAATGGTGTAGTTGAGAAGAAACATAGTCACTGAAGACCGAAAAAGTGTGTCTGAGAGAAAAGACAGAGAGAGAAGCTGCTGGTCGAATCCCAGGAGCAATACTTGCAACGCTGCACCATGTTGTCTGTCGTGCTACACTGTTTGTTCAATCTTTTGAACGCTGTGAGTGGAAGTCTGAGGTAAAGGATTGATTCTTTAGTAGTGTTTTATCTGACTTTGTGTTTTAAAAATAGCATCACTTCTCATTGATCCAGAAAAGAAGAATGACAGTTGGGCCATGATATAAATTAATAAAACTAAAATACAGATGTACAAAATTAACATTAAAATATTTAATAATAATAATATCAATAAAGGATTTTTTTCTTTGAGACCTAAAAAAAAAAAGCATGCTCTTTTCACAATCTAATACAACATTCATATGTACATACGGTGCATTATCATCCGAGTCTTCTACTAAACACGGGGCTTTTAAAGTTTGGCTTTCCATCTTATTCAACCTTCCCCCCCAGATTCCCCAACTAGAAAACCAAAAACAGACAGGGAACAGGACAGCACCTGGTGAAAACACTCTACAGGCCAGCAGCAGTCACTCAGTTTATTGAATCATCTGTAGTGTTTAGTCAAAAGTGAATCACAAGAACCTCACAGAGATGCTCTCAGACCAGAGCGCTCATCCTGCAAATGAACCAGGTACTTCAGCTTGATGTTATAACCAACTGACCTTAAATGCAATGACCTTTGCATCTACAGAGTCCAACTGAGGGCCTTGTTGTTCTGAGATGGCACAGGCCCCGTATTAATTTACCATCAGATGAAGTAAAACAGAATGAGCTGGCTGAGAATGCTACAGTAGAGAGAGATAGAGAGCTTTCATTGAAAGGGCTTGATTGCATACTGTTGTATGGACCTGAACATTGTCAAATGCATCATACTGTAAAAGAATTGTGAAAGCAAAACAAACCAAAATGAACCACTGAATTTTATGAATCTTATATCACGATTTGTTCAGACAGGCAACAGA